AGCGGCGGTCAGGCAGACGGCGGGACAGAGGGGGGACTGAACCAAGGGCGCGCTCCCCCAGCCCGGACGCCCCTGTGCCCCCCGCCCCGCCTGGCGTTGGGCAGAGGAAGCCGGGAGGGGCAGGAAGCGGACTGCGGTGGGGAAGGGGCGCCCCGCCCAGCCCCCCGGCCCGGTTCCTGTTTTCGAAACAAACCGTTCCCACGGGGCTGCCCCGACCTGGGGCCGAGCGTCCTCCTGCGGGCAGCGGGGCACGGGCCGGGCGGAGATGGGGGCCCGGGGCACCGGGTCCGGGTGACAGCCCGGGGGAGGGGCTAGAGCAAGATGGGCGCGTTTGGGGAGGAGAGGCCCTGTGGGAGGGAAGGATGAGAGCGCCGCTACCTGGAGACGAGACCTCGCTGTCTGGGGATGTGGGGGGAGCTCCAACTCTCACAGGCGGGACTGGGGCCCCGGAAGCCTGGCTCCCACGGTGCCAGATGGGAAGGGGCAGCGGCGAGCTGCGCGTGGATTCTCCGCAGCTTGGAGACGGAGGCCTGGGCAGGGAGGAACTGGGGAGGGGCAGCCGCAGGCGGTTGGGGTCCCCACCAGCGGGGCCTAGGGGAACCGGTAACCGTTTCCGGACTGTGGGTTCAAACACACTTACTGTGAAACCACCCGCCCCAAAACTGCCTCCCGACGCTGGCCCCTCCCTGACTCAGGGCCGGGGAGTCAGGACCGCCCCACACTTCAACCTGTGAGGCCCGGGAGCAGGCCCTTCCTGCTCCTGTCCCCCCACAGTGGGGTGGGGGCAAGCTTGGCCCAGCGCGGGTCTGTGAATTCCCCCACGCAAACCTCCCCCGACTGTAGCGCAAGCAGAGCACCGGCTTAGAGACCCTTAAAACGCCGCAGTGGGGCGGGGCTGAGGGCGGAGACAAGACAGCACCGGCCTTCGCGGGTCCCTCCCCTCCCCGATTTCACCCCGACTGCGAGGATCCTCCGCAGTCCCCCATCCTCAGCCCAAGTCCCGACTCCCAGCCCCGGGGGGCCCCACCCAGGCGGGCGCCCCGCCCCCGGCCAGCCTGGCAGGCCGCTGACCTAGTATGGACACGGCACTGGGAAGCGGGGCGTGGAGGGTGACGTGGGGAAAGGGGCCGGAGAGTCCCAGGCCCTGCCTCCGTGGGCCGCCCCCTCCTTCCGAGGGGACGCACCTGCGGCGGGTGGGGGAAGCCACGGTGACTGCGCAGCTGCTGCCGTGCCCACCCAGAGCTAAAAATATTTCCCACCAGAGAGAGAAGTAAAGGCGGCTCCCAAGGAGAATCAATTTATTGGGGGGGAAGGAGGGTGTACGGTTGGTCAGACCCATAAATAGGAGGGGCAGGAAGCCCGAAGACAGGATGGGAGCAGTGTCCTCAGCCACAATGGACGGTGTGACCTCGGGCTGGGAGTCAGTGAGAGTTTCAGGAAGAGGCTGAGCATCTAACTCCAGTTCCCCACCCTCTGCGGGAGGAGCTGGGGCTGGCCCAAGGGGTTGCAAACAGACTGGGGTGGGGGGGAGCAGGTTTGGGGTCTGGTCCGGAGGCTCAGACCAGATCATCAGGGGCTGGCAGGGGCTGGCGGGAGGGCTCCACGCCCCAGATCTCCCGGGCGTACTGGGCAATGGTGCGGTCGCTGGAGAACTTGCCGGAGGTGGCTATGTTCCGGATCACCATCCGTGTCCACTCTCTCGGGTTCTACAGGCCAAAAAGGGAACTCTGGGTTCACTCTGCTGGTGGGGTCCCCACCTTCCGCCTCCCCCCAGCCAGGGCCACCAAAGCCCTGCCAGCCCCTGGCCCAGGACCCCTTACCTTGTACAGGGCACTGACTTTCTCCTGGCATTTAATATAGTCTTCATAATCTGCAAAGACTTTAAACCTGGAGGGGAATGGCAGGCAGGAAGCTCCCTGAGGTCAAGGCCGAGCCCATCCTGTCCTGGTGGACTCCTGGGGGCCTGGAGAGTGATGCTGCTTCCCAGGGAGCCCTGCCCCGCTCTCCTAACACACCCATCCCTGCTCAGCCCAGCAGCGCCCCCTGCCAGGCCCCCTGGGCGACGGGCTCACCGGTCGTGGTGCATGAGCATGTTGACAATGTCCTTGAACAGGTCGGGCTGCTTTGGGGAGAAGAAGCCACTGCTCAGCTGCTCGATGACCTGGCGCAGCTCGGGGATTCGGTCGTAGTACTCCTGGGCGTTGTACCTGCAGGGAAGAGCGCAGTCAGCGCCCAGGAGAGGGGTCCTGGCTCTTCCTCCGGAGAAAATCCCAGAAGCCCTAAGGCCCAGGGCCCGCCTGCTCCCACCCTCCCTGCAGCCGCCACTGATTCCTTCCCCGGAGGCCCTCTTCCTTCTGTGCTCAGCTTTTCATCACCTTTTATGGGGATGAGGAAACCGAGGCATGGGGAGGGCAGACAGAAGTGTCACATACCACCCCCATCTCCAGCCAGCGCTGCTCCCAGGAATGCCTTCCCCTCTGCTCTCTCAAGTCCAACCCTCGCCTCACCTTCGGGTCCTGGAGGAGCCTCCAGCGTTCGCCTTTCTGAGGCAGCGCAATCCATCTCTCAGCCACCAGGATTCAAACGCATCCCCAAGGCCAGGCTCCTCTCTTCCCTCCCCTCCCCTCTTCCAACCAGAAACGAAGGCCACCTCCTCAACAGTGTCCCTACTCCCTATCTATCCCCAGCGCTGGTTTGCTGCCCGTGACTCTCCCAGCATTAAGGCGTGAGTCCCCACACGGGCCCCCACCTGCACTTTGCTCCCTCCCGTCCATTCTCCATCCTGCAGCCAAAATTGTCCTTCTGGAGCCTAGTTCTGCACATGTTGCTAGAAATACGTCACGTCTCCCGCCCGGCCCAAGGACCAAGTCTGAACCTGAAGGATCAGGCTTCACAGGGAAATGCCTTTCAATACTTAATGCTAGCTCTCCTAGGCTGTTGGTAGGGGTAAACTGGTACCAACTTTCTGGAAAATAATTTGGCTCCGACATCTCCCCTTCTAGTAATTATCTTAAGGAAATGATCGGCGATGTGGCCAGAGATGTAAAAGGTTGGTCATTACAGTGGTATTTATACCAACAGGGAATATCAACTGTAATGTCTAACTATATGGAGTGGTTAAATAAGTTATGACATGTTCATAGGATGGAACACTCCACAATCATTTAAAATATTTTTGAAGACTATTTCATGACATGGAAAATGCCTCTCCGCTGTTAAATAAGACATCAGGATTCAAAATGACATATAAGTTATTCCTAACTTTCAAAAATTACACAAACAAAAGAAAGAAAAATAAAAGAAAAAAACACACACATATATAAATATACATAGAAAAAGAGAAGTGTGACTTTAAATCTAGGTGATGAAATTATGGATGACAGTTATTTTGTTTTTTTGTGGTTTTGTATTTTTCCATTATTGCTTTTATAAGAAAAAAAATCATATTTTAAAATAAATTTAAAAAACATAATGCCAGGGAAATGTCTCCTCTAAAGAACTGTGTTTCTGGCTATAAGTACAGTTAACTCTTATACTCTTACTAGAGGCCCGATGCATGAAATTCGTGCAAGAGTAGGCATTCCTTCCCCTGGCTGCCGGCACCGGCTTCCCTCTGGCACCCGGGGCCCAGGCTTCCCTCGCAGCCCCGGCTTCTTCCGGAAGGTCGTCCGGTCTAATTAGCATATTACGCTTTTATTATTATATATTTCCCTTTTTGCCGTGGCTACCAGGGAACTAAGAATTTAGTTTACTTCCAATTTCAGAAATAATATGATCTCTTAGGATTGATATAATTTTCTCTTCCTTTTCCTTCAGTCCTGTGTTACTTCTTTCTTTTCCTGTTTCATTAACCTTTTCTTTGGTAAGTTACCTCAGCAGTTTTCCAGAGCTCTGGTGGCATAACTACGACCTTGTGCAGCCTGCTCTAGCCTGTCCATGCCTCTTGCTCCCAGCCCTACCCTACCCTCCAGCAGCCACACCTGGTGCCTCCTGCCCACAGACTCTTGACCCCCATACCCTCTCTGGTCAAGCTTTTCCACGTCCTCCTCCCGCATGCCGAAGATAAAGAAGTTCTCCTCTCCTGCCTCTTCCGCCATCTCCACGTTGGCCCCATCCATAGTGCCAATGGTCAGAGCCCCATTGAGCATGAACTTCATGTTGCCAGTGCCTGAGGCCTCAGTGCCCGCCGTGGAGATCTGCTCAGAGAGGTCAGCGGCCGGGATCACTGTGGGGCAGCAGCAGAACAGGGTCAGCTCTGGGAAGAGTCCCACCCCAGCTGGGTGCTCTCGAGGGAGGCTGGCCCTAGGCATAGCCAGGTTCGAAGCCCCTCCCACCCCAGCCCTCCAGTCTTCAACAACTGAGTCTCCTTCTCAGGCGCCAACCTCTGGATGATTCTTGGACATCTGGGATCTAACCTGGACTCCCCCGGCCCCGCTCCATTGTGTGACGTGACAAACACCAACAAGGCCCATCCCCCCTATAATTTGCCCATGCTGCCAGGGAGCTCAGGGGACATCCTCATGGTTTAATTACTGCCCTCTCCAGATTCTTCTTTAGAGTGCAAGTACCTCAGGAAGAGGTAACGAATACCTCTTCCAGGCACCAAACTAATCAGAGCCTCCCTAGGGTTCCCGGCGGTGGCACCCCACCTTTCTCGGCCAGCGAGACTCTGTAGTTCTCCAGAAAGATCACTCGGAGCCTGTCTCCCACCACCGGGTCATGGTTGACCACATCCCCAATGGACGTGATGAGTTTGATGATCATCTTGGCCATGTGGTACCCAGGGGCAGCCTGTGGGGGCGCAGTCTGGAGTCAGCTCCATGGCCGAACCCCCTACCCCCATCCTGTAACACAGCCAAGGCTGACCTCAACCCAGATATCAAAAGACCAGAACCATGGTCTGTGGCCCAGCTTCTCACCTTCCCTCCGATCATCACCGTTCGAGGCACAACAAACTTATTGGGCTCCTTCTTGATGCCTGTGGAGAAAGAGGGATGAAGTGGGCCAGGTTTCCCCTCTGGGTAGTAGCTCCTGACAGTCCCCATCAGCCAAGGCCCACGCTGGGAGGAAGTAGGCCTGGACTTGAGCAATCACTTGCTGTGTGACCTCAGATCGGTCCCTTCCCCCTCTCTGAGCCTCAGTTTGCCCATTTGTAAAATGGGGATAATTCCACGTCCCAAGAGCTGTCCCGAGGCCAAAGGAGATGTTGTCTAGGAAGCATGCGGTACGCTGGGAGGTACTGGAGCAGTGGTTCTCAACCTTCTGGCCCTTT